TTCACAGCCCCTTGTATTCTCCTTCTAAAATTGTTTCTAGAATATATATGTGATTCTACTTCTTTATGGTCAATAGCACAGATAATTGCAAGAATAAAAAATTAGTAAACTGTATTGTTCAATATATTCACATTTTTAGGCTAGTGGCTGTTCAACAAAAAGTAGCCATAAACAAGTTCAGGGGTCTGTTTCTGCTAACAGAATTTACAACAGTGATTGGGTATTTAAAATCTATGTTTGGATAATTATTTTAAGAAGAAGCCAAATTTATTCACTTAAAATAACTTTATGTTCTCTTATTTAGTGTAGCTCTTAGATAATGGAGAGATATTAAAATTGTGAAGTTCATGTGTAATATTTTCTTTTCCTTGCTGTTACTCGTGAATATTTTACTCTCCCTCAGTATCGCCTCACTATCCTATTCTCTGAACTTATAGAACTTCTACATGGATCAGAGAAACAAGCTCTTCCTTTACATTCTCCTGATCAAAAAAAGTCTGCATTCTTTCTTATGACATTGCATTTTCAACAATTCTTCATTTGTTGTAAGAGAAAATGTTATGGTTTAAAATATACATACTGTAGATATCTTACCAAATGTCAGAGATTTTACAAGTATTATTTATCTATATGTATATCATCATATATTTTGCAGATTATATCATGCTGTCACAACTGACTTCACTCAAAAGATTTCCAAATGAGATCCATAAGTAATCAATAAGCTTCAGGAATCTCAGGGGCAGAATATTTGATTCCAAGCCATGTGGTTTTAATCAGCTTCCCAGTGCAGTGTGATAGAACAAATGCTTCCCTTTGTGAAAGATATTCTCTTGGCTGCTATCATGAATGTTGTAGGGTATTTTGACTAAATTCTCAAAAATATTGAGTCATGGAGTTAGAAGTTTATGGCGAGGTGGCCCACGTCCATCTCTGCATCAAACCGAGGTCTTACCAGAATTGGAATGCAAAAAGGAACAATAGGAAAGACTGCCAGATTGACTGCCTAAATTGTTTCAAATGTTTATCTGCATGCATCAATACTATTACAATTAATTTGGAAGATCTGCTGATGTCCTGGAGATTGGGCAGCTGAACATCTTTGAAGGGCGCTGTCTGTAATGACCATGTTCTAAAACCGTGGTCCCCAAACTTTTAGTACCAGGGACTGATTTCATGGAAGACAATTTTTTCTGGCTAGTAGGGGTGGTGGAATCTTTAAAATGACTCAAGAACGTTTTATCTTTTGTTCACTTTTTTCTATTATTACTGTTACACTGTACGGTACAATCAGTGGGAGCTCCTAACCCGGGTTGGTGTTCCTGCAACTGGAAGGGCCCCTCTGAGAGTGATGGGAGAGAGTGACACCTTAAGTTTGTTGCTTGCGTTCAGTCTATCTCAGTACTTTTATGAAAATCTCAAGATATTCCACATTGATTTTAATCTAGAATGTATGGAACTTAACAGTGCATCAGATGTCCATTCTTTTTTGGCCAGTCCCATTCGCTAGGACAAAATCAACTATGCACTAATGGGTTGTACATCATTCCTTCCCAATTTGAAGGTCACTTATGGTTGGAAATTAATGCTCAGCTCTTGAAAGCTGAAATAGCTTATCATGTACCAGTTTGACAGTAGAAGGCCCTGGCTTAGTCTGTTTCAAAATAACTGCTAATGCTGAACATGTCAGAAATGCCAATATGCATTTGTTGTCTCTGTAATTCCAGTTTGGCTTTGAATGCAACTGCTTTTCTACCAACTTGAACACAGTTGTCACCCTCCTCCGCTGTGACAGATTCTGTTCGCTGAGCTGCTGAACATCTCATTGATGAGCAAGTTTGGGGAACTTTTCTGTGTCCCTGAAATGTACTTTCAGTGGTTTTAGAAAGCCATCTCATTTCTGTATATATGATGGCTTTTCTGAATTCGTCTTCTCACAGAAACAAGTGAATTCTAATGTGGTTGGTAATTTTAATCACATCCTGTCCAATATTTTTAATCTCATGTAACATTTTTCAGCCAGCCAGGATTTCTCTAGATGAGTTAGTGTAGACTCACATTCGGAAGCTACCTCTGTGACCTGAGCAGTGAATCAGCCCTTCTTTCTAGGGAAACACAGATAAGGTCTGAACAAATCAGTTTTACTACATGTGATGATTCAAAGATGTAAGTAGCTCTGTAGTGGTGGTGCCGGTGGCAGGAAAAGAACATGTATATCCTCACACGCACCCTTGTGAAGAATATCACACACACATGCACACACACACATCCCACACTGACTATTTGATCTCTGACAATTTTGCTATACAACATCCCCTCTCTCATATTGCATCAACTTGTCTCATTATTGGGGTAAACTAAAAGGAAAACATGTAATGGGTTGAACCGCAGCCTTTTCTAAAAGTTCACAGCAAGTATCCTCATTAGCACACAGGGCTAAGCCTTCACCGACGCTAAAGGGTTCTCAGCTTTAGAAATGTGATTAGCAACCAGGAGCTGTGCGCTCTGTGCGGACACCTTTGATGAAGTGCTTGGCCTTCAATTATTGCTTCGGATCATTGTGTCTGATTTTTTTTTTGCTTTTGGAAAACTACACAGTCTTTGTCTTTTCATGCAGATGCTTGGTCTCCACGTGGCAATGCCTTTTTGAACATGTGATGGGCTGCTTTGGGTACCCAGTTGGCACACACTACACAAAGCAGGCTCGCGAGATGCCAGTCACTTGTTGCAGTGAACAGGTAATGTAAGCAGAAGAGTTGGTATTTTCTTTGGAAGAAGCTCTTCCCCTCAGAGTCTTCAGTCTCATTCTTGAGTCTCTCTCACTTTTCAAAGCAACTTTCAAGTGTTACTTGTTTTTAACTCGTTTCAGGTGGGGTGAACTTGTGGGCTCAGAAAATCTGAACAGCATGCAGCCTGGGAAAGAGGCACTGGTAGCAGTTGGGACACTGGGGGCCACAGGGAGGCTAACCAAGGTTTGCCTTCTGGCTTAGGCCGGCAGTAGATACAGCTGCACTACTGAGTATGTCAGTTCATTTGCACTACAAATTTTGTCACCAGATTCAGTGTCTGCATGAGTCTCTCTCTCTCTCTCTCTCTCTCTCTCTCTCATTTTAATTGTTGTACTGTGGACTGAAGTCTGCCTCCACATTAACCTATATCCCTAGCACTTATTCATTTATTTATTCATTCATTTATTTAGACACAGCTTCTTACTAAGTCCCTACGTTGTTCAGGCTGGGCCCATATTGCAACCCTCCTGCTTCAGCCTCACAGTGTGCTGGGATTATAGGTGTGCACCATCGCACTAGGCTTCCTGCGCTTTTCTTGTATTCTGAGATGTTTTTTTACACTGAAATATGGCACACTGATAGTTACGGCTGGAATACAAATCCTAACATCAGCTTCTATGATTGTAATGGACATTTAAGAATTTTTTTTTTGTCTCTTCTGCAGGAGCTTGAGTTTATGGAATATAAGTGTTTGGACAAAAAGTAAACTCAATGCCTGACTCATCAACAAAAGAGTTCAGAGAAAGATGGCAAAAGAAACTATCAAGGCCATACACAGATGGACTCTGTGTATTCTCCTGAAATTAATACGCATGTCTTTGTATATTCATCACCTTTACACACAGGCATTTTAATACTTTCTTCAAGGTAATGGTATCTGTGCAGGTGGGCTGCCCTTCTGTGCCTGTTCCTCACCATCACACCCTCAGACAGTTTTGCGTTATCACCATATGATAAGCACTTAAAAATGTTGCATTGTCTTTTGTTTTATTTTTTCTCTTTCTCCCCAAACACAAGGTGTATCTTTTGTATAACAGAGATTAAATGGTCAGTCGCAGGGGGTGGAGCTTACATGCTCATATAAGATAATAACTTAAGAAAAATGTAACATTGAATGATGAAAGAGGGTGATGGTGGGGAACAATGAAAAGAAACAAGTAACCAGGAAAGGAATGGGAAAGAAAATTTAATAAATAAACAAGAAGGAGATAGAGGCAATTACGTCTGTAATGTCAGCACTCAGATGTGCTTCATCTGGGCCTTTTCATTGCCATCATGTGATAATGAACTCTACCAGGATGTACAAGATAAATACAGGAATCTAACGCTGGCAAAGGAGGGGTGGAGAGGAAGAATGGAGGTGCGTTATGCTTACGCCAACTCCCCACAGTGGATGTAACCATTACCTACTGCAAACATGTACTAATGCAAATTAAAAATAATAAAAATCAAAGAACTGTAAAAGAGTAAAAGTAATAAAGATATGTTACATCCTCATGAGTTCGTCATTATGTACTGTAAACGTGTTTAATGAAGATACATTTTAAGCAATTAAATATAAGCTACTTTTTTCATGCTAACCTCATTAAATTTCTTCGGTTTTCAAACATCATGAAACAGTGCAGCTCATGCTTTCTCTAATTGTGAAACCATCCACCTAAAATCCATATTTTTCCCCAAAATGCTGATTTTCAGTTCTGAGACTATTTCCATCCAGGGAAGACTTTCTCCAGAGCACCGGATTTGGACATTTTTCTCTGGATCTTATCTGACATTTTCTTTATTTCAGTATCATTTAGAATCTTCCTGTGGATTACTTGAGTGTTCAGTTTAGGGAAAGTCTGTTCCTCCCCACGAAAATATAAAATGTGCCAGAAATATGCGCCTGTAATGGCATCTAAAACACAAAGCAAAAAGACAATTGGTAAAAATTACCATACGTGACTGTAAGCTAAGTTAAATGAAAGAGAATGAAAGAGAATGAAAAATGGCGCAGCTGAGAGAATCGAGAAAATGTTCCACAAATTAATTGAAAGCAAAGACTGAAGCGTGACAAGTTTGGAGACCTGCAACATTGTCTTAGAATTAGGTGTTAGTACAAAGGCTGGTCTCAGTAAATTTAACTGCCTATGTAATTTGCTCTGGACCAGGCGGATAATTTTTCAAGACAACCAGCATTATATGTGTTACACGTACATATAATACAATTACTTAAAGCCATTTTTTGTTTCTCAGCTTCTGCAGGGCCTCCTTCACGTCCTTGTTCCGTAGGCTGTAGATCAGGGGGTTCAGCGTGGGAATGACCAGGGTGTAAAACAGTGAGGTCATTTTGTCCTGGTCTAGGGAGTAGGAAGAACTGGGCCCGAAGTACATGAAGAGCGTGGTGCCCTGGAAAACGGAAACCGCAGCGAGGTGGGAGGTGCAGGTGGAGAAAGCTTTGAACCTCCCTTCCGCAGAGCGGATCTTTAAGACGGATAAGATGATGTAGCAATAGGAGATGAGGACTCCTGAGATGGTGCTCAGTTCAGTGAATCCAAATATAGTGAAAATGATTAGCTCATTGACCTGTGTGTCTGAACAAGATATTAAGAGGAGAGGAGGGATGTCACAGAAGAAATGATTGATCTCATTAGACCCACAAAAACACAAACGCATTGTAAGTGTGGTGTGGATCAGAGCATCTGTCAGCCCCACCAGGTAAACCCCAGCCAGGAGCTGGCAGTACAGCCTGCTGGACATGTGGGCTGGGTACAGCAGGGGGCTGCTGATGGCCTTGTACCGCTCGAAGGCCATCACGGCCAGCAGCACACACTCAGCATCTGTAAAAACACAGAAGGTGAACAACTGCAGAGCACAGCCTATGAAGGGAATTGATCTGTTCTCAGCAAGTAGGTCCAGCAGCATCTTAGGGCCAACTGCATTGGAGTAGCAGAGGTCGGAGAAGGACAGGTGGCTGAGGAAAACATACATGGGTGTGTGAAGCCGGGAATCCACTCTGATTAAAATGATCATTCCAAGATTGGTCAGCAGAATAACAAGATAAACTACTAGAAGTGACAAAAATAGAACTACTTTCATTTCAGAATTATTGGTAATTCCCAAGAGAAGGAATTCTGGTAATGAGGAACAATTTCCACTGTTCATTCTTCTTCGTTCTTATTAGAAACTGTTGGAAAAATCAGCAGTGCAAAGATAGGTTAATGATTGAATTTTCTACATATACAACAATATGACGTAGCCAGAACATGCTTTGTTTTTATAAATTGTTTTCTTTACAATAATAAACAACCAAAGGACAGGCCACTATGAGGCTCCTACTCTGCCGCATAGAATGAAAAGCATGGAAATAATGTTAAGTGAAGTAAGTAAAAAAAAAAAAAAAAAAAGCTAAATATTGCATGCTTTCTCTATACAGAAACCCTTAATATAATTAAAGAGCAAAATACTAGCTAGATAACAGGAAGTAGGGAGGCAGACTTTGCTAAGCCAAGGAGGGGATCAAGAGATGGAGAGAGGTGAGGATAGGTGAGGGGAAGGGTACAGAAAGAATTAAGATGGTTACATAAGGATGCCAAACCCCTTGTAAAAATGTACTGCAAGCATGCACTAAATCAAATAAAAATGTAATAAAAATGATGGTTTGTCAAGAATAAAAAGAGCACTTTTTCCCTTTTCTCACATTTTTTCCTTTCCCTTCTTTCCTTTCCCATAGCCCTCCTGCTGCCCTTTCCTCTTTGTCCCTGGTTTTCTATGGTTCATATCACCCTTTTTCTGTTTCATCCAACTCTGCAAATAAATCCACTGAAAAGGCAAACAGATATGATAAAAATAAGTGGGGACAGGAATTTATAATAATTAAACTGGCTTGTCACTGGCTTTTAATTTAACTTTTTCATTAAAACAATGGGAAAGAAATAGAAAATTCTTAGATACTCCAGCTTCTATTTCATATGTTTATAATATTATTTATGTACATATATGGTTGAAATTTCCAGTATGTGTTCTTATATATAAACATTGGAAAAGGGGATACAGTCCTTATTTCTTCTAGGTATTATTATTATGGTAAGGAAGTGAATTTGCACAAATGTTTATATGTTACCTGTTAACTCTCATTATTTAAATAAAACCAGAACAAATTTAAATTTGCATGTATAGCTTCCATAGTGATTTTTGCAAGAGTGGACTAATATAAATCTGCATTAAAATAAGATTAAGTAAAACCTTTACAATTCCTATACAAATGAGAAATGGAATCTGTCACATTCACACAGGTCTAACAAGAATATACCCCAGTGCATTAGGATACAGCTTATTTAACTGAGTAACCAGCTAGCAAATCATTCAAATACATGTTCCTCATGACTTGATTTCTCCACTCGAGAAAGAAAGCAGAGTTCTAATTTTCCCTTGTTATTTAAACATGGCCATTCGTAAACCCACCTGGTATGAGAATCTCCTGTCCCTTTCTCTTCTGCCTGAACAATATGTAGATTGTATTTATTTTCCCCTGAGACTACTGGGACTTAAATCTTGGAAGCCTCTCCTGTGGTTCTTTTGTGCTATTCCAACATAATTAATTGAATTCCCGGGTCAGGACAATATTTTCCTCTGGGATTCCTGCAATAATATTCATAGGGCTGAACTTTTCTTTCTTTACCCTCATCAGGAAATTGATAAGTATCTGGACCTTTCTAGGTTTTTTAACCCTCTGATTCAAGGTATTATAACTTCACACCTTCATTGAGTGAAATCGCACATCAAATGAAACTGAAATACATCCTGTACTTAACAATTCCCACGTCCTTTCCTTGTTCATCCTGACTTGTCCATTATTAAAATGGTCTCCTTCACCCCAGTCCAGATGTGATTTAATCTTAAACACAGCTACTGTCCTTAAACACTAGGTAATTTCTCTCCCCAAGTCTACACGGACCACTTTTATATCAGCTGTTTCATGGCTGTAAGATCTTCACTACCCCTGAGTGGCTCCCTTTTATTTTCTTTTAATCTGATCAAATGTGGTTTTACTTTTCTACAGTCAGCAGCTTACAGATTTGCCTCAGAATTAAGTAGTAGTGCGTGTGCTTGAATATATTCAGTTAGTGACGTTGGTGAGGGTTCAACAAAGATTGGAAATAAGTTATTTTTAGAGCAAATTTTATTGGTGGCTCATATACACAAGGGGGGACTTGATCATTGTAGTGTGCAAACATGTGGTAATAAAAGGCCTGGAAAAGTATGTTAGAATACTGATTTAAAGAAATAGCCAAGCTACTTTGGTGGTCTGCTATGTACAATAACGTTTGATAATCGGCAGGTACTTCATGTGTCAATCTATCCCCTATAACTGCCAATAAATGTCCCAAATGCACCCCAATATTGGTTTCTTATTTTATTCATTAACTTGGGTGGACTACTTCATTAGGAAGATTGAGCACCAAATTTTTCATTTATATATTTCTGACTGCAAAACTACCTGAATTCTCACCCCTCTAAGTGAGTCTTTCTAGCAATACTCTGTTGTAAGGGAAAATGTTATTAATTTAAATGTACACTATTATACATATCTTAATGTCCACACAATTAATGTTATTTACATCTCTTTCTGTAGCACATATCTCCCATGTTACAGTGTGTTTCCATATCTAACAACTTCATTATACAGATATCAAAAGAGAGATCCATATGCAATAAATACACACCTGGAATCCCATAGGCTTAGTAGTTGTCTAACCCAAAGCTCTTGTTCTCAGTGGGTTTCTCACTGCAATGCAGTAGGAAAAAAATGTATAAAATTTGTTTTTGAAAAGCAATCTCTTGTGAAGTCTCTTGGAATGTTATTGTGTATTTATGCTAAATTCACAAAAAATTAATGAGTTCTGGATTTCTAAGGGAATTGGAGAGGTCATCCAATCCCATCTCTAAACCAAGGCCATATCCTGGCAGAGGTAGAGTGTATAAATGTGCAATCAAAAAAGCTGCCAGCTTGATACAAGACCTGTCTTCAATATCTTAGCAGTGCATCTCAATATTATCAGCATTGGTCTCGAAAGTCTTGCCCTAACAGAAGTCCAGGAATTATATAAAAACTTTGTGTAATTATCTACCCCCTATATTCTGTCTTGCTGTAGTTGCCTCAATTTTTATTGAAAAGTAAGTAAATGAATAATTTCATGTGTAAATTTTTAACAACTGAGAGACATAAAGAAATGCATGCGAACAAATATTATAACTCATTGTTACCTTCTTGAGCCTGACCTGACAGCAGACAGGGGCAATATCCCCTATAAGGAATTAATAGAAAACTACAGTGACTAAATTATTATTTACTTAGGGAAAGATTTTCTTGGTGATAGTCTGCAATTTCTTTTCCTTTTTTATTGCTGTTCCTTGGATGACAGCACTGATAGAAAAATGACTTTTTTCTAGAGAGGAGATTATTGACGGCAGATCCATAGTAAGTAACTGTAATGTTCTCCATACATTAGACTAAAGGCACTGATGCAATTGTGCTCCCCAGAGCTTTTCTGTCCAGATCTTCTCTGATGCAAAAGAAAGAATGGAAAATTCTTTTAGTACAAAAAATATGGAAGGTATTTTCGGTGCATATTAATTTTTCTCACCATGTTATTCACTGTCTCCAAAGAAAAACATTCTCTTCAGTTTAAACATTGTAGGACAGGACCTAAATTCCCCTCCATAATCATATCAGCCCCTTGTAATCAGAGTCTGTATTTCCTAAATAATTATTTCTGTGTAATGATTGCCTATGTAATTATAGTTCTATGTGGGAAATTAGCATTTGGAGATTAATAATGTGACTTTTTCTCTTTACCCAAACCTCAGCCTAGGAGATACATTAATTTGTAAAGAAAGGCAAAAGCTACAAATGGCAACTGATTTTATTTTCAAAGTGGACATCTAGCCCAGGAGTCATCGGGGAAATAATGTGCACTGTCTAACACTAACACGATGCACAAGATGACGGAGGGTTCACGCACTGATGGTGAGCACAAGTGCCCCTTACACACGCACACACACACACACACACACACACACACATTCATAGATCGCTAACCCCTGTTCCCCACAGAGATAAATTTGTCTACCCAAAGAAAGGCATAAGAATTTCATAGTGATATTAGTGGTAATGGGAAAGGGAAGACAACCTTAGAACTACTGACAAGAGAAGAAGATTAATGACATTCTTACACAAATGCTGCACAACAACAAGAAGCAATTTACTGAATCACGTGCAGGAGCTTCGCACGGTTTGCAGTAAGATGACAAGATTTGAAATAAGATCCGGGCGTGGAATAAAGAGAAATGCCCTCAGTAGGGTCTTTTGGATTTCAGGATTACTGAAACTCCCCAGAGTGAATCCATTCAAGGAGGTACAGTTTTTCCCCTTTATTCTTTTTTATTGTATTTTCCGTAGTGCTAAAATGTGGCCAAGAAATTGATGCAGAGAATTTTTAACTCTTATCTCGGTCAAAAAACAGAATCTGTACATCAGAAAATATTTATTCTGTTCTTTTCGTGTCTGCCAGCAGCTTCTGGTATGTTCGCGAAGTCCCTGAGATGATCCTGCTTAGCAGCAGCAAGCTCTGCTTCAGGTCCCAGCTTTAGTGGTTTCAGCCGCTGTCTTTGCTGCTTTGTGTAGGCTTTGCTGGGTGTCCCAGCAGGGCGGTTGCGCATGGCAGAGGACGCTGCTGACCGTGCTGGACCTGGGAAGGAAGCGAGGAAAACGGTGTCAGTAACCAGCGAGGGACGCGTCCTCACGCGCCTGGGAGACTTGCAGCCACCGCACCTCTCAACACGGCCCACGCTTCCAGGGGCTCCCCGCGTGCGGCACAAACGTCCAGCACAGGAGCCTCGGCGGGACGCTTCCCACTGCGCACGAGGGACAGACGGCTGTGGTCACGACTGTGACATCCCCACGACGCAGGGCTTGAGGTCAGCGTGTTGAAAGGGTGGTGCTCAAATAGATTTAGTCTTCTGAATCTCGTCCTACCTGTCTGCCGTCATTGTTCTATTTCAGATCTAAAAGGGCAAGAACTACAGTCTCACGTTATATACACACCTGACGTGACTCAGCGTCTGTCTTTTCGTACTCGGTCCAGGACTGTAATGTGGTTCCGAGTCACTCTTGACCTTTGCACACTTCCTTCCTTCCTCTCTTTCTTTCTCTCTTCTTTCTTTCTCTTCATCCTGAGCCACATTCCTCCTCCCTATCTATCTATCTATCTATCTATCTATCTATCTATCTATCTAGAGGCAGCCTCATCCTAATGTTCAAAATAGCCTAGGTTGGGCTAGAACTTGCCACTCTCCAGGCTGAACTTCCCAGAGTGCTGGGGCTGGGGTTGTGAACACCATACCCACTTGCCTGGGGCTTTGGTTCTATCCCAAAGCATTTTACTTTGAGAATTGTCACAGGTGCAGTGAGGAACATAAGGGCCCCTGCCTGAAGCTTCTGTGACCGTAATGGATAATTAGGGAAGCCAGTGTGTCTTATGTTGGCCTCCAAATGTACAGATATTCCCAGTTCATTCCGTGCTTGAGTCATCACAAAACCAGACATTATAACAAAGGAAAGTATCAAGGAAATACCGGATGGATGTTGCCCATTCTCAGGAAATCATTACTCATGTCTCTGTAGATTCTTTATATTTCCTTCACAGCCATTTTATAAGATTTTAGATGGTAATGTGTGTGTGCAGGTATATTGAGTTTTTGTGTATGCGAGACTCAAACTGTACCCTCAGGGAATGTTTCTACTACATCAACATCCTATAAGCACTCAGAAATGTTGTGTTATCTTTCATTATTCTTTTTTTTTCTGTTCTGTGTGCACCAGACATGATGTAAGTGCTTTGGAAAAAAAAAAAAGGCAGGGCAGCCTTGGATCAAAAAATGCTATCTTTCTCACATTGGAGCTAATGACTAAAGAAAAAAAGGATTCATAGTGATTTAAGTGAAATGATTATGAATAATAAAGAGAAACATTTAACTAAGGTGAAGATAAGGGATGAGAAAAGAAAAGAAGAGAGAGAGAGAGACACTGACCAGGGCCTTGCAAATTTCCTTTGGATCCTAAAATGTCAATATCACTTTTATTTCCAAACATAATGGACCTATCTACCTCAATGCACCTCACGATTTCTCTAATTGCCAAGACTCTTGGCTAACATCCCTTACTCTCCCCTACGTGTCTCTACTTAGGTCTCAGACTTAATATCTCTAGGAAAGACTTTCTCCTCCACACTAAATGGGGCATTGTCTCAGGATTACAGCCACACTCTCTTTACTTCAGTATGTGCAAAGCTTTATTGTGAATTGATTGCTCATTTTAGTTAAGTTTTATTCTTTCTCTTACAAGATGAGATTCACTGGTAAATAAACTAGATTCGCAATGAAACAAACAGTGCCAAAAAGCAACTATTAAACACTTAATCAGCCTCCGTACAATTGAGATTGAATGAGAACATGAACAAATCAAAGTGTGACACAACTGAGAAAATCAAGCAAATGTACCACAGGGAATATCGCGCATCAATTCCCGATAATAATGGAACGTGACACGTGGAGATGTGCAACACTCCCTTACAATTAAATATGAGTTTAAATGCTTATTTTAGCAAGTTAACTGTGTACCACATTCGTGGTCCAAAGTGCAATGAAATTTTTCAAAACAACAGACATTACATGTGTGTTACCTCTAGATATAAGGCAAGGATTTAAAACCACCTTTTACTTCCCAGCTTTTGCACAGCCTCCTTCACGTCCTTGTTCCGCAGGCTGTAAATCAGCGGGTTCAGCATGGGGATCACCAGGGTGTAAAACAGTGAGGTCATTTTGTCCTGGTCTAGGGAGTAGGCAGAACTGGGCCAGAAGTACATGAAGAGCATGGTTCCCTGGAAAATGGAAACCGCAGAGAGGTGGGAGGTACAGGTGGAGAAAGCTCTGAACCTTCCCTCGGCAGAGCGGATCTTTAAGATGGATAAGATGATGTAGCAATAGGAGATGAGGACTCCAGAGATGGTGCTCAGTTCAATGAAACCAAATATAGTGAAAATGACCAGCTCATTGACCTCTATGTCAGAACAAGATATGAATAGAAGAGGAGGGACATCACAGAAGAAATGATTGATCTCGTTAGACCCGCAGAAACACAGGCGAAATGTCAGTGTGGTGTGGATCAGAGCATCTGTCAGCCCCACCAGGTAAACCCCAGCCACCAGCAGGGAGCACAGCCTGCTGGACATGTGGGCTGTGTACAGCAGGGGGCTGCTGATGGCCTTGTACCGGTCGAAGGCCATCACCGCCAGCAGCAGACACTCCGAGTCTGCAAAGACACAGAAGGTCAGATACTGCAGAGCGCAGCCCAGGAAAGGGATTGACTTCTTCTGGGCCACCAAGTCCACCAGCATCTTGGGCCCAATTGCTGTGGAGTAGCAGAGGTCACAGAAAGCGAGGTGGCTGAGGAAGAAGTACATGGGGGTGTGCAGGTGGGGATCCACTATGATTAAAGTCACCATCCCCAGGTTTGCCAGGAGATCGAAGAGGTAAACCAGGAGAAACACTGTGAAAAGGGTCACTTTGATATCTGCGTTATCTGTAATTCCCAGGAAAACGAACTCATTCAAGGCAGAACAGTTTCCTGTGTCCATTCTTCTTCTCTAAATTTAAAAAGTGAGAGGTCCTGTGAAATCTTCTGTACATTGCTAGGTAGCTAAAGCACAACACCGTTTGCTTCTGTGTTTTTTTTAATCCTCACATATATTGGATGCTTTTGAGAACAGTAAAATCATCAATTCAAAAAGCAGTTGAGAAATTATGAGTGAAATCTAAATATATATCAAAATATATGTGCCTTTTCCTGTCTTCTCTAATTTCTCTGGACGTTTTAGTGTCCTAAATTCAGCTAACATACACTTGATGATGGAAATCTCAGTAAATACTCCAAATAATATGCAGGAAACATGATTTTTAGGGAAATTACATCATGAGAAATACAGTTCAGTTCTTGCTATGTTTTTTGAAGTTATCAACATAGGAAAAAATATAGAATTTATCATCTTCAAAATTCATCCATATTATAAAAGGCCATTTATTAATTCTGGAAATAGTGGTACTATTGACAAATAAGGATAAATATACTTATTCTACTCTTCTATCATTTAAGTATTTGATGACACAAAATAACTATTACTGATTTTTTCCCTAAGAAATATTATGATTTTTCCACAGTGCTCATTGCTTAATATAGAGGAATTTTGGATTTAACGTATTAGTTTTCTTGTCACTCAAAATAATGCTAAAAAGCAAGTGGGAGAACACATTTTAATCCATACCCTTGCATTATATCACAGTCTATGAAAGTATCTCATGCATATAACAAATTATATTTATAAAAAATTGAAAACACGAAGTACAATTGTAAGTTTAGAGATGCGTAGTTTCTCTTCCTGGAGTGTATGAACAGTCATGAATAGGTGATGTATTTTCATGCATGCATGCTTCTTATTTGAAATATGAGAAGTGGACTCTGAGGGGTGAATACTGTGGGATTTTTGTTTGATATTTTTAATTAGGTAACTGTTATATGATATACTCAGACTTAAATTTTTACATATTGTTATTTCTAATGTGATAGTTGTAATGTGATACTTCAATTACATATTAACCTAGAAAATTCTAAAATTTCTGTACATACTTACACAATAATAAAATGAATAAAATCTATGAGTCCAGATTAAAGAAAAATAAGGAAAATGAGATTTTGTGGATAATAAAGTCAGTAAGAGCCTGCTTTCTGAGGAGTAATTATCACCTTTGAAAATTAGACTTCAAAATATATTCTACTAATCAATCTGGCATAAATTCATTACAGTTTCTTCCATCAGTTATACTTGTTAATTTATTTTCTTTATATTATTTCATAAATTTAAAAACGCAAGACTTACCTGAGATGAGCAATGTTTTGGTAACTGAACATCAGGCAGAGAGTGTTTTATTCTAACAGGAAGCTTTTGGGACTGAACTCTCTGAAGCTACTTTTATTAGGTTTCCACGATGGGCAAACCTGTAATTAATTGTGCTTCTGGGTCCGTATTTTCCCCTGTGACTACAGGAACCACTGAAGCACAGGGGGAGCTTACCTCTTGGATATAGTTCCCAACTTAATGCCTGGCACAGTGATGCTATAAATTAATATTTTGCTGTACAATACATACAGCTTTTCTATATAAAATGTCATCTGTCTCATGCTTGTCCACCTGGAGCAGAATGTAATTAAAGAGCCTCAAAGAATCTCTGCCAGTCACTTCCCCTCTTCGTTTGTTTTTCAAGTGTTCAAACATTCTTTTTATCCAAATTGTTAAACGATTACTGCTGCTTGATGATATTTTTATTGAGGTAACAAATGCACGCTGAGAACTCCTTGGGTGTGTAGTGCACCACGAGAGTGACAACAATTACCTACTTGTAGAACACTTTCCATAGCTCAGAAAGGAAGGAGTCAGAGCGAGTCCTCCCTTGTCTTTGCCCCGGTCTTGGTAACTAAGCTGCTTCCGACTCTATGAGTTCATTCATTCTGGAGTTAAACATAAACAGAGTCCCTCGGCACCCGCCTTTTTGTGTTAGCCTTTCATTTACCATGCTTTACATATGTACCGATTTCTCAAAATTTACTTCCCTGAGGTGGATACATGATAAGTTGTTTTATGGAATTGATACATTTTTAAAATCTATTCATCAGTGAAGAAGCTCGGAGACTGTTTCCACTCTTTGGCTCCTGGAGAAAATGCTGCTAAGAAAGCTCACTTCTTCACGTCCTCTAACACCAGTGCACACAATCTTGTCACATTCCCGTCACCAATCTTTTGCCGCCCTTGTGCAGTTCACTAATTTTATGACCCTGCCACATTCCCTATATTCAATAGACATGAAAGAGCGAGTGCTTTTAATGACTGTGAACTTATTTCTGTAAGAAGTTCTCCACTACTTCTAAATCTTTAGGGATAACGTTGGTGCTTACTGCTTTTGTACTTTGACTTTGGAAGGGAACTTTCTTCCTGAGTATTGATTGGCAACTCTTTAAGATCTTCAACTGTGCAGAGTAGGGGGAAAAAAAAAGAGTAGGCATTCATTGCACTTGTAGACTGTGTTCTGTTAGCATAATTCATATGTGTAAGGATGATTCATTTAAGAGTTATGTGTGAATAATTGTTTTTCATATGGAAAAGAGTTCCACATTTGTTTCTAAAAAGGATTTGATTTGCCTTCATAATTTTTCTCATAAAATTGAAAATTCATTGCAGTGCGACCTCCGTGCTCTCCAAGCACCTCCCGGAGAGGGAGGAATTCTGCATCCTGCTCACCCCAGGTTGGTCCGTAGGCCCTGAGCAGGCCCCGCTCTCACAGCGCGTGACTGAGCTGTCTGCGCTCTGCTTCTCCCTGCGAGCTGCCCCTCGTTCCCTTATTCCGTGTCTGTGCTGGGGCTCTGCAGAGCAGAAAATAAAATCTAAAAGAAAGAAAAAAGGAAAGCAACCACACACTCATGGAACTATTTATTCCTAAGGTTAAAACCTAAAAATGAAAGAAATCCTAAGGAGAAATCAGAGCTCCACACGGGTGACAACGACCTGCGTTGAGGAAAGCAGCTGTGCTTTGGATGCATCTCCCTGAGAGACACAGTTCCTGTTGTCCTCACTTTGACTTCAGCCAACGAAAACCTGTTTGGAGTCGCTATTCCACACTCCTGACACCCTTTCACAGACTGCCCTCTGAGAGCCTCTAAGTTCTGCTTGATACTCAAACTAAGTTCTGGTACCGGGCATGGTGGTGCACGCCTGTTATCCCAGCACTCAGGAGGCTGAGGCAGGAGGATCGCTGTGACTTCGAGACCAGCCTGCGCTGTCTAGTGAGTTCCAGGTCAGTCTCAAATACATAGTGAGACCCTGTCTCAAACAAACAAACAAACCAAAAAAACAAAAAACCATAAACAAAAATCAAACTAAGTTGTGGTAAACAGTGTGACCACTTTGAGACTGGGCCTGACTGTCCCTCATGGTTTCCCAAGCTGTCCTTATTCCATCCCTAAGTTTTAGGGCAATTTCTGTCGAACAACTACCTTGTGATGTGGACTTACCCACCTTATTTTAAACATAATTTTACTTTTAATAATTTCACTAGTATATGCCACCCCTAACCCACACGGAGGAAACTAGTACAAATGGGTCTGTCCTGATTCCTTTTCTTGCCCTCTCATCTCCCTCAGGCTCAGATCCATGCCGCATTTCCACAAAGCCTACCACCTAGTGTCATGCCATTATCTTTTACCTCGGCCCTAAAGCTCCTGAACTTCTGGCTTCTAAAAGAATGTAGGAGGAACCGTGTACTACTCAACCTTCTGTGTCCCTTTCACCTTATTCTTCAACTGTTCACAGAATCTGGTGTCCTGAACAACTTCCGGCTCTTCCCAAGGTCAAAAGAGCCACCACAGGAAACATTTTATGTTGACTGAGGAGGGTGAGGCTTGATGGCAGCCCCACTGAAGTCATCCTCAAAAAGGGGCATCCAGACCCGCTTCAGGAGTGTGCAGAGGTGATGAGCATGTTCACACCAGAGGGAGAAAGGATTTTCTGAGGGGATTAAAGGCAATTTATATTTACTACAATCCGTCCTTAAAAATTTAAATAGTCATCTTATTAGCAGATAAAAACCCTTCAATTTCAGTTAATGCATATGTTTACCAAATATTGCACTGTACACTGCTCCTAGAAACTCACACCTGCACTCATGGCTGAGCACGTGGGTGGTGTCGGAGTCCTCAGAGTTATGTGCACACCTACAGGGACACAGAAACACAGACCAGACTGCAAACATTGCGTCAATCTCTTCTTACCACTGCCAGATTATGGAAAATGAGGGTATGTTAGATGAACAAATACCTTAGCACATTGAACAGGTGCGCTGATGTTCTCATAAATAATATTGAGACAAAAGGTGGTGAGGGGTTGAGTTAAAACGTACACCAAGAAAGGGCTCACAGCAAGTCGCTAGGTGTGTAGGGACACTGAAAGGGAACCTGTCTGTCCTCTCATTTCAATGCTAGTGTTGTCAGAGAAGAGTACTATATGGGAATCATGTATATTCATAGTTAAAGTGACCTATTTTCTGTCTAATTTGCATATTTATGAAAAAGCTAAGAAGATTTACAAATAGCTCACGACATTTTTCTGCAAATTGTAAGAGACTATTTGGACTGCAGAGAGAGAGTGAGAGACTGCAGAAAGACTATTTGCTATTTACACATGTGTGCCTTATTTATTTCGCTCAGGAGTATGGCAGCAATGTGCATCCATTAAGCTACAAATGCCTCTAGTTTATCATTCTTTACAGCTAAGTAGTACTCCATTTTATTTTTTAAAAAAACTTTACATTTGTTTTAATCCAGTCTCTAGTTCATGGGCTCTTGGGCTGGTGCCATGTTTTAGCTATTACAATCTGTGCCACTATAAACATGGGTGCACTTATATTGCTGTGGTGTGATTCTTTTAATTCTTTTGGGAAGATACCCAGCAGTGGGATAGCTTAGTCAAATGGGACCTCTAATTCTAGTTCTTGTCCATACTGATTTCCACAGCCGTTGCACCAGTGCACACGCCCACCAGCAGTGGAGAAAGAT